TATCGTCTTCGTAGTGCCTCAATGGGCAGTCCTTGCATTCTGTGTCTTTCTGTGCAGTACAGGAGTTGATAATCTTCCTGGAGTCACAAACAGAGCATACCTTACAGGCAGTACTGCCAGTCTCATCTGAATAAGTCCCTGGACTGCAGGAAGTACACTCACCAGCTGCCCTTCTGACCAATGTTATACCACATGGTGGTGATGGTTCCTCCCCTGGTGGACATACAGGGCAGGATAAGCACCTGATCCTGCTACTATTGCTACTGTCATTTTCAAGAATCGTGTACGTCTCTTGAGGACATTGTTCAAGGCCATCTGGATAAAATTCGTTGTTGTCTTGTACATCTTTCCAGAAGGACCATACCTAACCGACCAAACCAGAGGAAACAATGAAAAAAAATATATCTTACTCAAAGTAGTTATTTGTTCATTTTGTAGTCTAGCGTCCTGAACCAAAACATTTTGGGCTTAAGCTAATGCGTTTTGATCATCCTGTATTTGGCATGACAGTGTGATTTAGATCCTCTTAGAAGGACCATATCTAACCGGCCAAACCAGTGGAAACAAAGACAAAATTATTTTACTCAGGGTAGTTAACAATTCATTGTGTTTATCTATCAACGCGAACCAAAAACTCTTGAACCCATGCTAATGAGTTTTGATCATCCTGTATTTGCCATGACATTTACGATCGTCCCATGTCTATTCAAAAGAAACGACTCGATAGCATATATGTATCTTATCGTTCCAATAATTCGAAGTGATGTACTTATCACATTACATATATCAGCTAGCCTTTCACCTGTAACACAAAAAAGAATTGCAGTTCAAAGCATAGTTTGAGAGCCACATTCTGCTGATGAAATTTATTATAATGATGATGCTCTGTGTGGTATTTCAATTGTAGTATCTTAAAGGCTTCAGCTTAATCTATTTGGCTACCATACATGCTGTATATTAATACTCCAAGTGTAAAAGCGATTATTGGTAATTCTTCTTTGCTTGTACATACAAATCGTATAACAACAGCTTGACCTACCCAAAGTAAGAACAATAATCCAAAAATAAATAACAGTTTGACCAGGAGCTCCGCTTCTAATTCCATCATCCTTAATAGAGATTCAAGTTGAGTTGCCCTGAAAGATACTAAAATGCGACAATTTGGTTAAAATGGGGTTTTCAATGTCTACAAATTTTGAAACCGTATTATTTTTCGTTCCTACAGATTCCAGCGCCGTTTCCTTTCGAATTCGGTTTTGTGTATTAGCTGTATACTGATATTAGCTTTGGAGTATACTGTATTCTCTCTTACGTTCCTGCATGTGCAGTGGTATAACTAAAGTGTTAGTATTCTCTGAATTCCCCAACAATTTCCGCTCCCATACTGACTCGAGACATCAGTTCCTCCAAGTTGCTCAAAATTCTTCACATCATAACACTATGTTATTTGGAACGTACTTGTCCAATTCTAGTGTTTTGTTGTTTAATAAACCAATGCAAACCAAACGAGAAGCGGAAACCTTATGTAGATTCCTGTGATAAAAACACTGGTCTATTTAAGTTCTTCAAACAGAAGTTTTGTTACCGGTTGGTAAGCGGAAGTATAGCTAATGACCCTTCAATTCACCATTGTCGATGAAAAATAATAAAAAAAAAAGAAATAAATATCTATATTAAATAATAACATTTTAGGTGACTGGTTTCGAAATCAAAACCATTTTGAAAACGACAAACCGAACAATTTTTGAATATGAAAACAATAACATTCATATTATGCATGTAATTATACTTAAGCTTCAGAAAGTGTATTCTGAATATATAATACATATATATATTAATCGTTGGCAAAGAATTATCGGTAGGATAGTGCTCAGGTTCTAATCTTCCGGCGACCAATTGATACTGTGAAACGAACTTCAGTAATATGAATGCAGTCTAAATATCGTTTTTGGCGTTTTGACAACTTTGACTGTTACACGACAGACCTTTCAGCCTGAAGCTAGGTTTGTGCAGTTTGTCGTAACCACGGCTTAGTAATTCCTGATCACATAAGTTGTATGGCTTTATATCAAGCGTAACCAATACACATCGATCCCATTTTTCCTCATGTTAAACTAACATTTTTATAATATAACGTTATAATACTTGCACAGGAACCTGAGAAATAGATGCACTCCAAACAAATATCCGCCCACTCATGGTCTACCGAGTGAAGTAAAAGCAATTCACAACACGAAATCATTAAAACCAGCCATTAAAGTTAAGAGAAAAGAGCAATTTCGAAAGTTCGTGTTCTTTTGACATCTCCTTGATCACCATCGATCATCGATCATGAATTAGAAGGCCCGCTCAGTACATAATTTTCAACACAATGTGTTCCCTTGTGATGGAGCGTGCATCTGTTTCAGACGATTAGCTTAACTATAAGGGCGGTCTTAACTTAAACAATTACCGCCTCTTTACTGCATATGTTATAGCACGGTAAAGCTAACAACAAACAAACGTACCTTATGAATAGAGCTTTTCCGTTTCCCGAGAACTGAACTCCTCGCAACAAACAAGGTATGCCACGTCGTCTATACGGAAGCTAAACAGGGAATGAGAGAACCCGGTTTGGCTCTTTAGAAAAGGTACCGGCGATTCTTTAAATTAAGAGTGGCTTCTCATTGAAGCTTCTGCTGTTTTTCTCACAAGATATCCAGCGGAAGTACAGATTATGTTCTAGGAAACGAAAGAATAATTACGGTGAACCCTGGCAACCCTAAAATGACGTTCAACCGTTCAATTACGTAAATCAGTCGACATGGGTTTCTAGGAAAAATTCGATAATACCACTTGAGGTCGAAGGTTCTAGATGATTGGGTTTCGGTAGCCAACACTTGTCCTTGGCAAAACGCCCAGAACTCTTAACCATCTCAACTTTCAAGAACTTCGATTGGGGATTCAATAATTCATTTTGCATAAACAATCAGGGTAAGTCTGCATACTCTTAACCTTTCTGTTCACTCTTGCTTTGGTCGCCTTGCTGTCATTGCGGATTAAAATTTGGTTCCCAGAACAGCTGGTGACACCAGCACCACTATTGTCCAGTCTCCACCAACGCGACTGCCACGTTGCCTCATTCTATCACCATAACAAACGCAAAAAAATCAGAGAAAATAATGCGTTAAGTTTTCAATAGCGACAGTCATAAAACGAAAACCACGTTATCACATCAATCTCGGAGCTTACACAGTATAAATGCATGGGTGGGGGGAAAGGGTAGGGGGAGGAACAAAGTCCTCACAATTTTATGACCGATAAATAACCGAGAAAATAGTTTTTGAGATAAAATACTTTCTGTGTTAAGATCTCATTTCCTTAGTGTACCCTCTTCCCCTCCAGGCATGATACCCTTGTCAGTTTTCCCACGATACTTAAAATTACGCTCTGCCGTCACTGTACAACTGCCGTCGCTGGTTTGGTGTGAAATGGGAAATTTTTCCTTTTACCGCGGGTCGATGACATTTGAACGAGATTCGATTCAGAGGATGAATATCTGAACTGAAGTAAGGAAGAAGTCTCGCTTACCAACAACAACAGGACACTGCAAATCACGAGCAGTAGCACTTTCAACTCAGAGATAGCCATTGATATAGGTTTGCTTCTGGCCTCTTGCTAAAGATTGTGCAAATGAAAATAAATTCAAATAAAGATGGTCGACTCACTAAAAAAGGAAGTCAATAACAAGCAAAACATACTCAAACTAACGAAAGTATTGAAGAGGCACTTCTTCCGCTCCAAACGTTTTGAATTAAGGTCTGCGAGCCTGTATACCAACAGACTGATTTCTATTGACTGATAGGAACTGGCGTTGTATTGTACCTTCTAAATAACACTAGACGTATTTAAATCGACGCTTTTTTTCCGGGTTTTTGCTCTC